ATCACAGCTCAATCAATTATGTCCGCACACAATTTGTCATTAAAACTGTTTCTTACCATCGAAACTCTTTGTATAATTTGACTCTGTAGATATGAAGTGTTTTGGTTTGAGTGTTTTCATTTACAACTAATCATCATTTACAAATGTTTGTTGTCCTTTTTTTCTTGATTTTGAAGAAACCAATCCTGATCATCAGTCTGAGAGGAAAATATCTCACATCAACTTCAAACTTCAACTTAACGGTGAGACAGAAAATAATGTCGGGAGAAGATTTTTGTATGTGTGTTTATTTTAGAGAACTTCTACCATTACTCAAGTAATTACTATTATCAGTGAATCAGCAATGATTTTTGATTTAATTTCGTTATGGAGGACATGGCTGTTACCTGTTTTGTGCATTTTGTTTTCCAACTAGACGAGAAGTCACGGTGCCACGCCCGCCTCGTTCACAAACTGCTCTCTCAGTATGTTGACAGTGAAACCTCCTGGGTGGAGAAGTACCCAACGAGTAGACACGTGCCAACGGTTTGTACGAAAAGAGCAAAAAAATGTTTTTCCAATCGAGGAAACAACGGTTAAGTTGGACTGAAACTTTGTGTTGCATTTACGCAGCTGCTCCACGACGTCGGCCTGGTGGTGAGTCGCTGTCGTCTGCTGGGAGAAGAATTGCGTCTGCTGAAGATGTGGGGGGGTCTCCAACTGGATATTCTGGACATCAGCTGTGTGGACACTCAGTAAGACACTTGATGCAGGATATGTGAAGGATCAGGTTTAGACTAAATGGCCTCAAACCAAAAACGCTACCTTGACACTGTTGTAGTCTGTTTTCATGATCCCTAAACTGCTCATGAAACAGAAGGATGCTTCATGTTCTGTTCTCCTCCTGTAGGGTGCACATTGTCTTCAGCAGCCTCCAGAAACTTTCCAAGTTTGAGGTGGTTTTCTCCGTCGGTTTAATCGACCACCTCTGTGTCGTTCAAGTCCAGAGCTTCAACAACGTGATCGGGAGCACTGTGTAAGTGCGACAGACACAAACTGACACGTGCACTCACTCGAAGCTAAAGATGTTAAAGTTGCCAAAACAGCTAACGAGTATCTGTCGTTGTAATGATTTGTAGGATCCAACAGATTGAAGAGGTGGTGGCGTCGTTCAGTCCGACCAAGAACCTCTTTACGAAGATCGTCAAAAAGATTCATGATCATCTTCTCTGTTGAGAGCAGCAGCAGCAGCAGCAGCAGCAGCAGCAGCGGTGGTTGTTTTCCAGGGTACTGTCTGTCGTCTTAAAGCAAACACGCCTGTTAACAGTTCACTTGTATGTTACAACAAGTCGTAACAGTCGGTTAGAAATACTCTGGTGTTGGAATATGCAGAATAATTCATTCTTCAATTCTCTCGCGTGTTACTGCAGCTGTGCTCTGTCATATACATATGTAAATACTTGTCATGTTACTTTGTTCTCAATGTAAATCTGTCTCTTTAACCTCTTTCAACATTTTCATTAAAAATGTAAGTTTTTCCGGTCACATGTTTCTTGGGGGGGGGGTGCCGTTTCTATTCGTCACCTCAATCCTACAAAAAAAAATGATGATGATGTGAATAATGTGTTTTTTATAATAATAATAGAACCTAAACCGTTGTTAAGTGTTTCCATGACGTTTGTTGAAAGCATTTCTTGTAAATTAGAGATCAAATGGAATCGTCAGTAAGTTCCTCTCTTGCTGTTCTGTGTTCAGACTTAAGATGGTGCTATGGTCTTAGACACAATTCACTGCTCAGTGAAAACTGAATCCTTACGTTAATTCCCCATCACTATGTTTACCTTTGTGTATATAAGTTGAGTGATTGTTCTCAGGTTTTTCATTTGAAGGATTTTAGAGGCTCTCAATGGTTAAAATACGTTAATTAAGTAAACAGATTTATTTTTTCTTTTCGTCTTAGCACCCTGGCGTTCAAGTTGGGAACTGTTCAATAATCATAATTGCATAGAATAAAGTTTTCACGTTTCTCAAACAGTCATTAACATTTATGGGTTCTCTCTGATTTGCATCGCTTAAATATATAAACAGTCATTCAGACAGACTCTTAAGTTAATCATCATGTAAGTCTGATTGTTTTTAACAATGATTCATCGATTTTAAGGCTTCAGTTTTCTCTCAGACGTCCTTGTAATCCCTCATTCTGTGTTCAAGTACGCGCACAATTTATTTCTCAGAAGCAAGAGTGAGTGTAGGAGCAGAGAAAACACGTCTGATTTAAACATTTTGATTATCTCGCTGCACAAAAGGCATAAAATTCAAACATTTGCACGATCCTGCTGCGTCTGAAGCAGAACCACAACATGACTGACGTGGACAGTGTGCAGGGGTCATCTGAAAGGTCAAACAGGATATGTGTGTGTCCCTAAAGCCCTGACGTCAAAGGTCAAAGTGGACTTTCCAAACCGTCACCCTCGAGTGAGCCATCAGGGGAGACGAGTTCCTCCCTCGTTCTCTCCGTCCGTCCCCTCGGGAACCACGGCTGCTGTCACACCACAGAGGACACACAGGGTGTCCAGGCCGGGGTTAAGTTTGACTGGAGCGACATTTGGCTGTCCTGGCCTCAGCGCAGGGTCAACTCAATTTCATTTCAATTGATCCGCTCAGGGACTTTTCACCATTTAGACATGTGAACCCGACTCATTCATTAGCTCATAACACAACAACACACACAGGGATTAGATTTCTTCCTCCTCTACTTTAAAGCGAAGGTCGTTTCTTCTAAATTGTAAAAAGTTCGGTATGTAGACGAGTCATCGCCTGTTTGTGCCTTTTCTTTATCCGTTGAGAGAAAAGCTCAATCCCGCCTTACGCAATTATCTAATTATAACATTGGCAAATTAAAAAATAATAATTCCAGCGCTTTTATTTATTTGTTTTAACACCATTTCAACAAGTTCCTCCAACAGTTTGCAGTCAACCAGATTTTTTTGTTGAGTAAACATGGTAAACGCCCCCCCCGCAGTCATAAACATGTCTCCACCGGGCACGACAGGCTCCTAAATGATCTGTTGTGATGATAATTGCAGCAGTTATCCTCATCATTGTAATTTCACTCTCAATAGAAAATACAGGGTTTAAATCATGAGAGCGTTTTTGCCAAAGTGGAACAGAAAATGGATCAATTAGACAAAATGAAAGAAGTTTGTATGATCCACATCCTGTGAGGGGAACACCCAACAGCTCGTAATGGTTTTTTCCCCCCTGCAACCATAAACGTCGGCCTCAAGTCGGATAGAAGGATAGATGATAGATGGATAGATACGTGGTTAGAAAGATATATGGGTGGATATATGGGTGGATGGATACTTTATTTATCTCAAAGGAAATTTAAGACAATTATTTGTCATGTACAAAAACAGAAAAGCTAGTTAAACTATAGAAAATACTGAATAGTGTTAATCAAAACATAAATATGCAAACTAAAGCAGAACCCGTCCTGCAAAAAGTGACGACATGAGCAATAAAATGGATCTGATTTTATTTACTATCCACTGGTTAGTTTTATATTTAGCTTTGTGTTGTTATGATGTAAAGATCATAAACGTGTCATCACATATGAGAGGTACAATAAAACCCCGTTTTTTTCTCTCTGAGTGACAAACGTAACTGTGAGTTGAGATGTTGATGAAGATTTAATTCTGTGAAGAGGAACATTTGGCTTCAGGCGACCTGGTTGTAATTCGTTTATCCTCAGACACAGGAGCAGTGTTCCTCCTTCGTAACATCGTTAGAGTCGTTCACCAACATCAGCCAGGAGGGAGGTGAGGTAAAAACACAACCACCAACCAAACACACAGGTTCTTTATCCAGGAAAGAAAGAACATGGACAACACATATGCACTTTACTTCCCATAGAAAGGATTAGTTCCAATATATAATCTGAGGAATGAGACTTTAAACTTTAATACAGAGTGTTAAAGATTATACGTCAGCATGTAAACCAGCACAAGTATTCCCATAGAAATATAACATGGAGTCCCGCAAGGCTCGATTCTTGGGTCTACATTGTTTGGTTTGGTTTAAAAATGTCCAGTTAGTTGAAGAAGGTGTTGAAAACACTGAGAGAAAATAAAATCTACAAAAATAGTACAGTTATTCAAGAATAAACAGTTCGGGCAGTTTTATTCACGGTCACATGTTTCAAGAAGTTCAGAGTTCAACAGAGAATAAACCAACAACTGAAGCTGCCAACACCTTCCGTCTGCCGTCGTTCTCCTCCATTGTCCCTCCCTTCCTTTGACCCAAGTTTGTCCACAGCCATGTTTGATCGTAATTATCTGAATGTAGATTAAAAGAGTCCAGCTGGGACAGCGTCACCCCAACAGCTGTAAAAAGATAAAGGCAGCACAGCTAAAGTTGTGTTCGTTCACGTCCAGAGGGAGAGATTGCATTGAAGCCAAAACACAATGTATCCCAACTCAAGGCCAAACTTTACATTCACAACACACAATACTGTCAATAAGACGTCCAGTCTGAGAATCAGATCTGTGTCACCCCGTGGTGGAGAGGAGTTTGTGGATTTAGTCACTGCAAAGAAAACTCTGTAGGTTTGTAAAGTTTTATTCCTCCGGAGTCAATTTGTGTTTCTTTATACCTAAAATATCATCGTGTTCATCAGAGCCTCCTCCGAACACGCAGACCTTCCGTGGAGCTCAGGTTATCTTCTTCAGGGCTGTTACAGGGGGTTTTAATTGGTCCTTTCAGGCAGGTAATTAGCTCCGGTGGCATGTGCTCCCATAGTGATGCGAATGACAAGGACACATCCCACCCCTCACCCCAATAACACACACACACACACACACACACACACCCACACACAAGTTGTTGCCACATTCTCTGGTCATTCTTGGCTGAAGACAATAGGTCTGTCTTGTTAAAATCCCTCTCAGCAGGAGGACAGAGGAGCCGCAGCAGCTGTCCCATAGCATCAAGCCTCAGTGTTCCCAGAATGCATCCCTCCAATTTATTTAAATCTTTTAAATGATCAGTACTTATCTTATCTAAAAAAAATCCATTTGTTTCGCTGAATTCTCCATCACAATATTTCTCCTTGACTTCGGCCATTTCAGATCCGCTTGTGTCCGTGAAAGAGGAACAAGGACCGGGAACAAGCGGTGAGCAGAGAGCAGGGCTGCTGAGGGGCCTGTTCTCTGGCTAAAAGAACAATGATATCAAAACAGGAATTCTGACCTTGTCTGGGGAGAACACATCCGGGGGGAACGCAAGCAACAAGGCAACAGAACAATAATAGCTTTTCCTAAAAATATAAGAGTCCGACAGGAGGCTTTGTGCTGCACTGGCCTTGAGAGGAGCAGAGGAGGGAGTTTCTCTCTCTCTCTCTCTATGTTCAACATAGATCCAGACACTAATTTAAGCTCCTTCTTGGAATAGAGGGACTGATGAGGCTAGTGAGTCACATGACATCCACCCAGCTTTCTTTTTTTATATTTTCTAATTATCAGACGACTCTTAAATAACTTTCAAAGCTGCAGAGCTGCTTTTTGCATTGCTGATTTTCACCCATTTTGTTGTGTGTGTGTATTTTTAGAGCTTCTTCACTTTGAATAGTTGAATAGAGGGAAAGAGTGTGATGAGAGCAGCGAGGTTGAACCAACACAGTGAAGTTGAGGCTGTAGATTTGAAACTAGCAGCGATGAAGCTCACGTAAGTGTCATTTCATCCACTGTTGACATCAACACATTGTTTAGTGCAGCTTTAAATCAAACTAGAGTTCGAGTCTCAACTCAGAAATATTGAAATATTGAGTGTGTGAGAACCTTCTGTCTGAACAGTTGATCGTGGACCTTGGTGACCCCAGTCCGTCACCGTCATGTCCCACGCGTCTTCACCACGGATCCTCTATCATCACCTCACACACCTCAGCCACACAAACATACAGATTTCTGTGCCGAGATATCGAGCGCCCTTTTGACACGCGGCGCTATTTTGACGTCCGAGTTCTCGTGGGAGGATTTGGGAGCGTCTCCCGGACAGGGCGAGTGGCGGCTGAGCGTCCAGACTGCCGGACGGGCGGATAGCAGCCATCTTGACCCACACCCTGCGCCTGCTAACAGAGGTGCAGCAGCCACCTTGGCTAAGTGCATTCTCTGAGGTCCTGGCCCAAATCCCTGCTTGACCCTGACTGATAAACTATGCTATGGATAGACCCCTGGAGAGTTTAGAATGAAGATTCGTCCAAAGGTTTACACAAACATTTAGCTCTTTAGGCCACTGTGGTTGAAGTTTCATAGAATACACCAACTAACCTGGAGATATCATATCATATTAATATTTCATATTATGAATATCATCAAACAGGACAGTTAATGAAATCCTGATCCATTCTTCTTAATGAAGAAACCAAGTTTGAATATAAGAATTATCATTTAATGTTGTATTAGAATTTATCTGCATCCCATAGAAATTCATGATAATTTGATTTAATAATCAAACTGGTTATTATTTCTATTGTTAAAGAGACTTAAATTGTAGATATTAAGTAGTTTCACATGAGGTTTCACTTAACATTCACGACGCTATCTCGTGTAATAACTAAAGAAGGTTTGGTGGCCTCAGTAGTTTCCAGGTTTGACGTTGCACTAAGCTCGGGGACGTCTGGCCGGCATCAGCGCCCCGCAGGCAGTAATTGGTTGTGACTGTGAGGACCCTGCAGCCCCATGTTCTTGGAAGGAAGAGATTAACACGTATTGTCCGACCCGGGGCCCCGGATGAGAGGCTGATAAGATTTTTGTGGGTGATGCTCAAATGAGGCCGCAGAGAGGATCCAATGAGAGGAACGTTCACCATGAAGATAAAAATACAGTTTCTTCCACTGAAAGAGGTTCGGATGAATTTCCTAGTAACAAAGAAGTAACATATCACACACACACACACACACACACACACACACACACACACAGACAGTCATGCAGCCATTATTTTGACCTGTAGTCCAATGGTTACCATGAGGTATGAAGTACTATCCACCATTTGCATTGTGGGATGTCAGACATGTCTTTATTACCAAGAACACGTAACTCTCTGAACGATCACTTCCTCCTGTTATTTAAGTTTAAATTATTTTTCCATAAAATAACAACTCTAGTCGTTGCGTCATTCGACAAATGCAGAAGAAAACATATCTAACTTGAAGGAGGTAATGAAAGATCCCACTGAGACGATGGGGGAGATGTTTGCGTTTGTCACATGCAAACTGCAAAAGGCCTGAAAACATTCTCAAGCAGCCGATGAAAGCAAGGCAGTGAATACCTGTTGCCGTCTTGCATCCGCTCTGACTCAGAGGTGTGAACAAACCATATTCTCAGTTGGTGGAAGAGATTGTTTCCACGTTATCAAGGAGACAAGTTGTTGTAAAACACGCTGCTGGTATGTTTTGATTTTGTGTGAAGCTACTGACACAGAAAATCATTGTCATATCAAACTCAGCCCTCACAGACAAACCCTGAAGGAGATTCTTCATTTACACTTATTTAAATTTCTTGCTTCTTTATTTCTGCAGTGTCATTATATCCTCCATCGTTTTTTGTTTTTTTTGTGTTCTCTCTTCTGAAAATGGCGATTAACCAGAGCTGGGTGACTCCTGCACAAAACTTCAACTCAGCCGTCCCTCCCGTCTTATCGTGCCCTGCAGCTTGGCCGGATCGGGCAATATAAATTGGGTTTGCCCAGAAGAGAGACGCCGGTTCCTCTTTCAGGTCCGTGCATTGTTTCGTCTGGGCCTGTATTTATTTAGATGTAAATCAGCTCGATAAAACGTGTTACATCCTGTGCCTGTGTAGTGGGCGGTGGACTGGCGCTCATTTGTTGGAGGAAGTCAGCCACGTCGAGATTGGGAGTTGTGAGGATTGTTCTCCATTATTAGGCTGTTATTGATGTGAGGGGGTGACATCATGCAGCCTCACCCTTTAGGGAGGGACGGGTGAGAAATAGCTGCAACACCTCTTCACTGTAACTCAGCAGCCTGGTGAGGAAGCTGAACACAATCATCATCATGTTTCAACACAACGATGGATGACAAAATGTTGGTGGCTGGCTATAGGTCAAATCTCTCACCTCCTCCATGTTAGCAGATGGGAGATGGACCAAACTAAAAAGTCAAAGTAGACATTAAACAAATTTTGGTTCTGATGTTTATCCATGTGTTGGGTTTCCTGCTAAGTTTAGTTTTAATTAGCTATTTAATGTTATAAAAATGGGGTGTAACGCCATGATTGACAGCTGAGACGGACTCACAATTGGTAGAATGTGAATCGCCACCGAGGCTCCACCCCCTGATTTCTACTGCGCAGACTCTGGCTCCAAACATCCAAAATGGCAGTGCTGGTATCTTTCATATTTTGGCTTCATTTTGGGAAAGTAGGAGAAAGTGGAGATGCGTCGTCCATCTTTATATTCAGTCTACGATTTAAAAAAATCTGTGATTCACAACTTAAACAACTATTACAATTGAGCTGCTGTGTCTTAATAAAATAAAAAAGATTCTTCCCGGCACCCACAGAGCTCTTTAAAACAAACAAAAGGAACAAACGCTGGACTCCCTCTCCTCTAATGTGTTCAATTAGCTTCACTTAAACCTGCAGATTAAGATATTAAACTGCTTTCAGCTCGTTCTTCCACAGAATAATCCACACAAACACTAAACACCATGCCCTTGATGAATAATGCACTCCTCCTAATTAGTAACAATTACGTCACCTTTCTTTGACCTACTGCTGGTGCTTCCCTTGAGCCAATCGGTGGGAGGTTAAAAATACCAGCACACAATAGTGAGATGCAGCATCCACAACACCACGGCTCTTCTTTGTCTCTTAGCCGTTGACTGTGTCCGCTGTCAGACAGATGTTTAAATTTTTTTGTGACCGTGGACTTCCTCTTTTTAAATTCATGTCAACGAGGATTCGGATTTCTTTGTATTTGAGAAGCCAGATGTTTATTTTAGTCTTTGTCCTCTCGCACCTGCAGGTGGACGACAGCTGCAGGGACAATCCTGCTCCACTTACACATAACGAAACAAATCTGCGAGTGGTGACGCTTCTTCTTTTGTATTCCCAAACCACATGAAACAGTCGGGTACTTTAAAAAACATTATTAAACATCACACGCGAAGGTCAAGGGCTGGAACCTGAAATCCAACACTGTGTATGTGTGTTTATATAGCACCAGAACTTCATTGAATTAGAAAGCATGCCAGAGACAAAATGAATGAAGTAGAAAGTAAAAAAACTATTCACACTAATTTAAATTAAACCCAAATTTTAGACATGTAAATAAAAAAGACAAATGCTACAAACACTTAATGATCTAATCTACATCTTTGAAAAGGAGTGAGAAGAACATTTATATATTTAATCCTCACCCCTTCTCCATAAATGATTAATTAAGAATGATCTCATATAATTTGATTTTAAAAGAAGATGAATATATATGTGCTGATTCATAATGATTAATAAAGACTGTTCCACACCACAGTCATGCAGTGGTTTCATATTCTGCAGATTTCATTGTGAGTAATTCTTCTGCTCCTCACCCACCCTCACCCCCTCACCCCCTCATCCCCAGTGTCCTCTCCCGGCTCCCGTAGACATTCCTCCGCTGTCAGTGCGCGGTGACCGTCGCTGAGCCACCACCACCACCACCTCCCCCGGAGCCCCGAGTGAGAACCATGGAGGAGATCAACAGCATCGAAGTGGGTCCGTGCACAGAGTCCGACTACCTGAAGCCGTTCAGGGTGCACTACAACCAGGTGAGCCGCCGGACGCTGCGGGGCTAGTCCAACCCTCCCCCTCCATTCATTTCTGCAGCTAGCACGTTAGCATAACATGGAGGAACAACGAGCTCGGACGCGTTGAACGCCCGCAGCGACAGTCTCCGGTGGTTCCCGCCCCGCGGGGCTCGCTGGTGTTCTTCAGACGAGAAGGTTCAAACTGTGGCTTTTTCACGGTTTTTGAC